AAAATCTGATCTTCAAGTATAAATAATGCAACACTCCAGTAAGACAAATGCATTCAATAATATGGTTACATCTCTGAAAGAAAGACACAGATTTCACCTGTAAGTCAACTGCATGTCAATAAAAGTTGGGTGAGGACGGAGGGAGAGGGGGGGATTTTTCACAGAGAAAATACTTTTGTTGAAAACAAACAGAGTGCTGGACGTCGTCTTCAAGCAGAACTTCAGTAAACGCAGCGAGAGCAGGAGGTTGTCACATGTCCACCACCATCTTTTTGTGAATGTCTAATCCACCCACCACCTGCAGGAAGAGACATCACACATCAGGTTCTCTTCACCGCTTAAAACACAGCAGCCTCCAGACATTATGGGTTCGAAAAGCAGGTCAGAAAATACAAAGACAAATCATTCATGTGTTCAAATAGCGTTTTGTCGGGCAGAAGAGCATTGGCTGCGTGTCAGGAGCGTTTGGATCGAGCGCTTGTGGGCTGAGAACGAGCGTCTATAGCAGACCTGTTCCCACCAGGCGGTCTGGTTCGGTTCAGTTTTGTTCGTATTTATTGGTGTGTCAAAAGTTGGGAATGGTACCAAAATAACCGATCTGTACGTCCTACTTTCTTGCTAACCTTCTGTCAGGAGGCCAATCGTACCGATCCGACCCTACAGGGTGGAGCTAGACACCCTGCAGTCCGTTGATTGGTCGAAAGAATCGCCACTTCCTGTGTGACAGCGGTAATAAAGGACAAACCATAGACTGTAAATTTTAATGTTTGAAGCCTGAGTGACGTCCCCATTCGGTTCCTGCAGGGGGCTTTAGAGTCCTATCGATGGCGGTCTCTGAGCTGGAAACACACCATGTTTAAGTACCCAACGGATGACCTCGGAGGTGATGACCTCTGCTGCTCGTCCTCCGTTGTTTACTGTGTCCTGTTCTAACTTTTGCGGTCGTGGTTTTTTAGCTGTTGTTTGGTTTCTTATGCTGAGTTCTTCTGCACTTTGTAAACCGTTCAAAGAACTTTACAAATAAAGTTTTAATTTTCTAAATATTATGAATAAAAAAAAAATGATCGACTGCTCCCCCCTCCCCCCATGGTTTTTGAATCGACAGGAGATGTTTAGAATGAAATCATACAGCGTTTCACTTCCTGGTTTTACTGCATACTGCATTTTGGCCAAATCAGTATGTACTAGTATTATAGTACACGGTTTCGAAAACAGCCACAGAAGTGGGCAGGACCTCCCACGAGGAAACAGAAGTTGGCATGGCCTCCAACAGAGACACGGGAGTGGGAGGGGCCTCCCAAGGAGACACGAGAGTGGGAGGGGCCTCCCAAGGAGACACGGGAGTGGGAGGGGCCTCCCAAGGAGACACGAGAGTGGGCAGGACCTCCAACCAAGAAACAGGAGTGGGCAGAACCTCCCACAGAGACACAGGAGTCATAGGAGTGGGCAGGGCCTCCCGCAGACGGCGCTCTGCTGGAACAGGAACAGGAACACAGAGAAGCTGAGGCCTGAGTTGAGGTCTGGGTTGAGTCCTGACATCGAAGACCCTGGCTGTTTTCGAAACCACGTACTACATACTACTATCTAAATCAGTATGCAGTATATACTGCATACTGCATACTGCGTTCAACAGTAGTATGTAGTATGACTGCCAGTTGTCGGTTATTTTGCAGTATGCTTGGCCCCGGTTAAACTGGTTTCCGGTTTCCGGTCCTGGAATGTAAAAAACGGCCCATCTGGAGGTAAATGCCGTGAAATAAGCTGACAAGTGCTTCATTTCGATTGTCCTTATTTTACATGGGACAAAAACATTTACCTGTGACATCGGGTCTAAGTTAATTCAGCGGTATTTGATCGTCATCCGGGCGCAGTAAATGTTAACGGAGACGGATCTCATTCATCTGGCAAAGGGTGCGTTCCATCATTCTTGTAATTCTGCTTTAATCAAACTGGGTGCCTTTTCATCAACTTGTTCATTGGTAGTTTGTTTGTGTGTTTTACTCTGACTTTGATTATCGACCATGTAAAAAAAATAATTAACATAATTAAAAAAAAACAGTCAACAATCTCTCATCTTGTCATTTATACATAACACCCGTGGTTGAAATATGATTAGCATGCTAATATTAGTAGTAATTTATTTAATTACATTCTGAAATATACTATTAACATTATAGTATACTTTTCAAGCATTCAGGTTTAACTTTTACACAGCTATGAATAATATGTAATAAGAGAGCAAGCACAGGACCCTGTAACTGCAGTAGCTTGTCCACATGTGGCACATGCATCGTACAGTCGAAAAAGCAGCAACATCTGAGGTGGTAAGACACATAAATATCGGAATATGTCATTTTTGTCATTGGTTCATGCACACAATGTGGCAAGAAGGAGAAAAGCTACTATTCCTATTACAAAATGAAGACCATGTAAATAGGACACACTAAATATTTGTAAGGGTAAACTGGGATTATGTAAGGAAGTTAATGTAAGCTCCTCACCTCAAATATTGAGGGTATATACACTCAGATAAATCAATAAATACTATTGTGTGACAAGTATGTTTATTAGTAACCACTTCATTTCTGAACATTGAATTAAATTCAAACAGTGAATTTCACAGCAAACTGACAACAGTATTATATCAGTAACCAAAAAACACTTCATGAATGGTAAAACACTTTTCACTTTGGAAACACAAGTTCAGACAACTGAAACATCCTGTCCCTACTCAGCGTGGCCTGTGAGGACAATACCTCTAATTGAATGGCCACAGTGCTACTGTCCACCTCTACCTGGGAGATGGAGAACTAAAGAAAGACTTCCGTCTGTCAAGGCAGACAGTGAAGGCCTTGGTGGAGTGTCTGGGATACACCAAGGACCATGGCTGGAGCAAAGACCTCGAAGTGGGGATATATTTATACTGGCTGGCCAGTGCAACCTCGTATCGGGTGGTGTCAGGAGCCTTTGATGTCCCCATCACCACGGTTCATGATGTTTTTACTGTCCACTTTCCCCACCAGGGAACGCTCTTTCACAAACTCTCTATCACAACACAACAGTAAAAGCTTATTTGTATGACAACACTGGTACCTCCAAAGATGTAACTTTATCACACTACTTTCTGTAGACAAGTGAACTTACCTAGCAGCTAAGCTCACTTAAGAACAATAATAATAACAATAATTACTTAACGTCCAAGTCCCTTTTGGGCTGCATTCCTGCGGCCACTGAACAGGCTTTCGTTGGCAGTTCACCAACGGATAAGGGCCTCTTGTGTCCTGTTCTGTCCCTTAATGAATGTAATAAATATACGTTAGTTTGGCGTAATAGTAAAGTTGCCTGTGTATATACGGTGACGGCACGCTAGCGTTGCCGTCGTTGTGATATTTAGCATTACATTAGCAGGCATAACTTCATTACACGCCAGCTTGACGTTCGTTAAGGGCCCAAATTATAATGTTAACCAAATAAATGAAACAAAAGCAAATGATGACAAATGTTGTCAGGTAATTGGTACTTACATTTATATTCACTGTCCGCCGCCGTCGAAATACTGCGCTCCGCCATTACGACTGTAAATATTGACCTGCCGCTTTGCATTCTGGGAGTCAGTACACGAGGTAGACTGGTCCGATGCATACTGGAGATTTTTCCCGAATCAGTATGACATCCGGGTATTTTTGGCATACTGCGGATCTCGCATTTGTTCACATACTGCATACTGCATACTGCATTTTGGCCAAATCAGTACGTACTAGTAGTATAGTACGCGGTTTCGAAAACGGCCAGTGTGTTCTAGTGATCAACATATCTCGTTGTGTTCTGCACGTTCTTTCGTCAAAGGGCGTGGCTATGGCGTGCGTTCAAAGTTTGATGTGCATTTTGGCAACTTGCCAAAAAAGTAAATGGTTATATCTCTGTCATGCAGTGTTCAATCATATTAAAATTTCTCATCCATGATACGGGGCCCACCCTGAACACATCCATGATTGACATTTTTTGCTTAGTCACAGCGCCACCTGTTGACAACAGGAAGTTACTGCTTCTCAGTTAGCATTAGCCATTGCTACAAGGTAGCTCATTTCCCGCTCAGAATTGGTGGGGACCATTCAAACACCTTGGCCATACAACACTTTCAAGCTCAAACACCTGCGTCCAACACATGTATGATCAGGGTTGGCCTCTGAACACATAGACATTACAATAGTCAATTTTAACCATAGCGCTACTGTTTGTTATTATTTTACTGGAGAGCCCCCTGGTGGTGGAACTTACACACTGTGCCTTTAATGTAACATCAACACTCTAGTAAGAACTGTAACATCCAAAGACAAACATTCAAAGTTTTAGTAGTGAACATGTTTATTTGATCACAGCATGAACACAATCACCTTCATCCAAAAATAATATTCATCAAATTCACTTCTTTTTGCAAAACCAAGCAACGCAGGGTTCTCTATAAAGCAAATGTTCATCACTTCAGAGGAAATTCAGAGCTTTTTTTATCGGCAAAGTCAAGATTTAGACGATGTAAAAACAATCAGGAACACAAACCACATGAAATCCATTTGGGTCAAAACTCTATCAACTCATTGAAATGCATAAAACAAACTCACAGTGCAGATTTATGTGGATATGTTTAAAATTTAACATGAATTTGTTTAAAGTTTAATCAAATCAAAGTAGCTTATTCTTGAATATTTAAAAATACATAAACACTGGTTTTAAGGATACATCATGTTAATAATTTATTCACATGTTTCGCTGTACCCTTTCACTTTCACATTCGGGAATCGTCTTCTGTGAAACATTCAGATGGAGGAGGTCAGAAAAAAGTGTCCCAATGGATCGATACAAAAACTACTGAGCGCCTGTAGCTAACTGCTAACATGCTAACCAGCGTTTCATTCTGAGGACATAACGTTAAGAAAGAAAGATGTGTGACTTTTTGATCCAGTAGATGTCGCCGTTGAGCACCAACGTGAAACCAAAACAAACTGCTGTTAGACCACACCTCCTCCATACTGAAGCCTCCGCTCTCCTCCAGCAACACACCTCCAACCCCCCTCCACTCGCATTCCCACGACTGAGTTATAAAATGGATCGCACCGAAATTAAACACCATTAAGCATAAGCAGCAGACAAAACTGTCCTTTACTCAAACTGCAATCACCTGTCCTTCATCGTTGTGTTAGCATGCTAATGTTAGCGCTCTTTAGTTAGCTCGTAGCTTCACATTTCATGTTAATTGACACGGAATGACCGTGATCTAAAAAGTCTTAAGTGACATTCAAGGCTGTCCTGTCCATGTTTACACGGCGCCAACAACAACACAGCCAGCAGGGAGTCCTGTTACATGTCGGTATGAATTTCAAACATTGATCGATTTGTAAACGTAACAAAAAAAATCTTATTTTAGCGTTCCTTGCAAAGAAAGCTTAATTACACTGAAACTAATCGAGGCTGCTGTAAAACTTCACCGTTTGAAGTCATTGTATGATTTTCATACACCACCTCAGCTTCATTTTTGCGAGTGCTCCTGATCTTGTTGTAGGTGATACACTACCTCCATTTTTCTGGAGGACACTACAGTTTCAGCTTAGCCAGAAACTCTTCTATTTCTTCACTCTTTCGGTTCCACTTTGTTGTGTCTTTTGTTCTCCTCAGAGCTTCGATGCTGTCGTTACGGGAGAAGGACTCGACTGTTATCGAAGCAGCCCTCATGTGGAACTGCATTGCCCCTTGGTGATCCTGTTTATCATGGTATAAGTACTTTGCAAATCGGTTGTAAAGCACCTGTTTGTCTGCAGGCTCCAGATCCCTTTGGAGCAGTTCTTGGAATATCTCCTCGGCTTTAGTCTTGTCTGACTTTGCGTACACACTTGCAAGATCAATTTTCTTGACGAATGAAGAGTTAGGGTAAAGAGAAATAACCTCTCTATGGAGACTGATTGCCCTCTCTGTCATGCCTGGCCTTGGGCGACTCTCTCTGAAAAACAAGATCTTCCACTTGTAGCAGAGCGCAACACACCTCTTAAGATAACGCTCATCTGGATGTTTTTTCAGAGCCTCTTCTGCCAAATCAATGGCCTCATCTACAGATATGTACTTTGTGTAAAGTCTCAGTAATGGCTTTATACCGCTGTAGCTGCTGACGGGATTTCTCAAGATCTGACTTGCCAACTTCTGTGCTTCATCCTCAACTTTTTGTTCTTTCTTGGCAAGTTGTGTAAGGTAGACAGCAGCGAGGTACAAGTTCTTTGGATCCCGATTCCTTGCGCGTTTCATTTTCTTCAGGGAGTTAGCGTCTACCCCGCTTTCGCTGTGCTTACTGGCACACGCTAAACCTAACACATAGCTGGAGTCCCACTCCACCCTGTGTGGCTGCATCCTGATGGCTTTCTCGAAGAGATCTGCAGCCTGCGGCAGTACCTTTTTACCGAATTTGATCAGCGTCCAGGCCCTTTCAGCGCAGATCTCTGGATGGAGGTCGTCCCGGGATGGAGATGGATATTTTTTCATCAGGGCATCAACCTTTGACAGGTAAGCCTGACTCTCTGCTTGATCTCCCATGTGGTGGTGCAGCCAGGCCAGGTTCCCGTAGTTCACCACTAACCAAGGACCCTCATCTGCCTTTCTCAGCTTATTGAGTGCCTCCGTAGCCTTCTGAAACAAACTCTTAGCCTCTTCATTTAACCCCAGCTTATGCTCAATAAACCCCCGCAGGTTGTAAATGTGGCCCAGCCATCGATTTCCCCTCTTGGTGCCGATGTCCTCAAGCTTGTCCTTTAAACGTAAAAGTCGGGACTTCTTGCGGGTGAGAGCCCAGGTGAAGTGACACTGCAGATCCTTCAGCTTGGACTTAAAATTGCTTTGACTTTTGGAGGCACTGGAGAATAAAAAAAACATCAAAACATATCGTCATTAAGTTAATACAACGGACCCTGAAGTATGATAGGCTTAGATCAGATCACCAATGTTCATTTGATATTTCTGTAGAATAGGAAAATAAGATAACATCATCAGCTTCTTCTTCATGAAACACAGATGACTCAGATCCTTCAGGGTCGGACTTACGGATTTATACAAAGGATTTACAAAAGGTATAACGCAGTTTTGGTGGTGCTCTGTTGACACATGACTCCTGCAGCGATGTGTGCATCACATATTATCAGAGGAAACATAACAAACGCCAACAAAAGAGTCACTGCAAGAGTCTGCTTCAAACCAACACATGAATCTGTTCTGCTGTGGGCCGGACCCACCTAAGAGGACCTTTGACCTTTTATCGGTTTGTGAAAAATACACTTCTTGGTCAGCATGATGGATGGGGTGTAAAACTGCGGCAGAGTCTGCTGGACAACTCGGGCACCAAGTGGTGGCACAAGCTCAAAATGTCAGTGTCCTTCACAGGGACAAGTAGAATTTAAAAATGTAAAAACAAAAACCCACAAAATGTACAAAAGGTGCAATGTAGGAGCTGTGCAGTCAACAATGAGAAAAAAATCTTACTGTGTATAACTCTAATCTCAGAGTGCATGTAAATAAAATAAATTTAAACACACAAGTCCTGGCAGAAGCCAATGTATGATGTCACAGCCTCTGTGTACTCATTCAGACTGTTTGCAGCACGACTGCATCATACTTGATGCAATGCCAGAATGACTGGACTAATGTTGGCTGATGTTTAATCAGGTGTTCGTGGCCTGTAGCTGTTTTGTGCCTCTCGTAGTGATGAGACAAGTTTGTCCCACTTGGCTGCACGCCTCTGTTTGATATGTTGATATAAATTTAGACAGTCACACTGACGCCCTCGTGTGGTCTCTTTGAGCAATGACACTCACAAGGGCCAGGCAATATGAAAAGCACAGACAACAGTAATAAACTAGACAATTTGCATTTACCTGCAGAAAATGCATGGGAATGCTGACCGCTGAAATGTTTTGCAAAACACTGCTGAATGAAGAAGAATCAGCAGAAACAGCTGAAGGATTAGAAGATGAAGAAAAAGTAGAAGATGTAGAAGAAGAGGAAATGGTAAGAGAAGAGTAGTAGTAGAAGAAGAACAAGTAGTAAAATCAGAAGAACAAGAAGTAAAAGGAGTAAAAGGAGTAGTAGTAGGAGAAGTATTAGTAGAAGATGAAGAAACAGTAGTAGTGGTAGAACAAGTAGAAGATACTGCATAAAGACTGCTAGAATGCAGTCAGACAATGAGAAAAAAGGGGAAAACGGCTCCCTATTGAGTGCTCATTTCAAGGACTTAAATTAAGAGTTGGTGGCTAAATAATGATTTCGTGAGCAAGGGACAAATGGCCGAACGCGTTGATGTGATTTTCATGTCTGGGATCCAAGAAATGTGGGAACCACAGTGATCTAAAAAGTTAGTCCCAAGAGGTTTGGTCAGTGAAGTTTGGCTGAAGTTTACCATTACCCCAGATGGTGAGTTATGTGGACCACCTGCTGCTTTGAAGCTCACAGTGTAAAAACCGTCGCTCTAATTGTCCTGAAAACTCAATGTGTGAGAGAGGACAAGTTTTCCTACATTTTTAGGGTCATTTTATATGTGTGGGGTGAACATTGTGGTCAGTAGAGCAATTTTTTCGGGAGATTTTGAAACTATCTCAGAACTCTGTCCCACTCTAGTGATGATGTCACACAGTCTCTAGGTGGAACGGAGCCAAAGTTATAAGGCTGAGAATAAAGTGGAAAAGTGAAACATTTTCTCATTCATTTGAAAGGGAATTTTTATTTTTTTTTTAATTTTGTGGAAAAAGTGAAATAACTTAAAATGTAAAAGTAGTTGAAAAGTGAAGTCATAGCCATCATGTCATGAAGAAGCTGAATAGTATGATAGTTGAATGGTGAAAGTAGCACAAACGGTTGAAGTAGAAGCACGGTGAAAAAAACAAGGAAGTATAATAATAAGTCAACAAATACATGGTGAGTCATAAATAATTGCTGCTTCTACTTATTAAAAACAAATGAGTAGTTTAAAAAAAATGAATTAATGGAGAAAACATCTTCATGGACTTTAAGGATCCAAAATATAAATTTTTGTGGCTTTGTGACACAAAAAAAAACATCAATGATGCATGAATTCCTAAAACCCAAAACCATCATAATGATCTCCTACCATGGTAAACAATGCAGAATCAAAACCTCACCTCATTTTCAGCTGTAGTTCTCTCCGTAGTCTTTATGAGTTTTTGTCAGTTTGGCGGATTCCTGCTGTTGCTGCAGCTTTGAGTTTGCAGAAACAAAATAACAGGACATTCACGAGCACGCATATATAGTCTACGCAGATGTTAGGAGGCGGGGCGTTCTCGTGGTCGCGCAGTGTGCAGAGGAGCGAACAGACGCGACTTCGCTGAAGCACTTCGCCCTTCAGCAGAATGGAAGCGAAGTCAAACAGCTGTAGAAGAACCTCAGTGTCATGAACCTTCAAAGGAAATGGGTGAAGCATGACGAATGTGACTCTGATGTGTGTGAGGAAGAGCGAACGAGTTCGCGCGAATACAGCGACGCGGACACGCGTCATAAGTTTCGTTTTCAGGGAATGGAAACCTGAAGCCTGAAGCTGCCTCCAGATCAAAATAAACGAGCATGGATTCATATAATCAATTTTTAATCTAGAGTTAAAGTCCCGACTGAAATCGCTACTTTTAATAAACAACAGAAAATAAAACAAATGTCTTATTATAAAATCGTTCTCCCTTTATTTAAATAATGATTTTACGATTTAAATGTGTCT